GGTGTGGCAGCTCCTGAGCCTCTCAGCTCTCACTGAGAGACAGCAGAGGCGCTTACCCGACCTCAGCCAGCTAAAGAGGCAGGTGTGGCAGCTCCTGAGCCTCTCAGCTCTCACTGAGAGACAGCAGAGGCGTTTACCCGACCTCAGCCAGCTAAAGAGGCAGGTGTGGCAGCTCCTGAGCCTCTCAGCTCTCACTGAGAGACAGTAGAAGCTCTTACCCGACCTCAGCCAGCTAAAGAGGCAGGTGTGGCAGCTCCTGAGCCTCTCAGCTCTCACTGAGAGACAGCAGAAGCTCTTACCCGACCTCAGCCAGCTAAAGAGCTGCAGATACTGTGTCCATAAGAAACTGGTCTTCCATAGTCGAGGGAACTGGGAAGTATTTAAATACATCTGAAATGGAATTACCGTCATATACTACACCTTTGTTAGTCGCATGTCTGTTAAAATATCATATAGTTTTTGGGGATTGTTTTTTATTCAATAATATCCACCTTGATAAATGATTCAGGTAAATTCTTAATTGTATCAAACCCACCACTCAATTTTTTCCTTCCCCATTTAAGATTTCTGACTGGGGCCATTTCGGCCTTGACCACTGGTCAATAAACCATTGATGAATAAACTTTGGTCCTGTTGTTTATGTAAATGTGTTTATCTTTTACTAACATCAACTATTTCCTTTACATGAATACCTTGAAATGGTATCAGGGCTTTTCAATTCTGCTCCTCAATTCCAGATCCAGGCCTTGTTTTCAGTTCTCCCAGGTAGTTAGTTTAAGAATGACTGATTCTGATTGGCCACAAAGGCTTCACACCTGGCTGACAGGAACAGGAAGCTGGAAAATCAGCAGGGCTCAGACCTTGAGGATTGTGATTTGAATAACCCTGATATAAGTCATGTCTGTCTGGTTTGATTATAAATGGATTGCTGAATAACAGGCATCTTCATGCATGTTTTGGGAAAGATTTTGCTCAATGACATCTTTGATTGGCAAAGCTTCAGGAAAGATATATAGCTGATGTCATACCTTTCAGAAAGGTACTGAATTTAAATTGTGCTTAAGTTTAAATTATGGGTGGCCAATCTTATCCACAAAGGTCCACAGTGTGTGTGGGCTTTCACTGCAACTCCCTAATTAGATTACTAATTAGAGGACTGATTGGATGAAGAGTCCTCACACCTGTGTTTGAACAGCTGACCTACAGGTTATCCCAAAAACCTGCATACACACTGGCCCTTTGTGGATAAGATTGACCACCCCTGGTCAATGAATAGATCAATGTTTCCCAATCCAGTCCTCTGCAGAGACTCATAGGTCCATGTTTTTGTTCCCTCCCAGCTAGTCCACATTTTTGCTCCCAGCTGGGCGGGAGCAAAAATGTGGACTGTCTGCCGGTCCCCAAGTAGTAGGGAAACACCAGTATAGATGAATTACAGATCTGCAAAACCTGTGGCTCACTTACTCAAGCTTCCCTGACACACATCCATGCACGTGGCTCCGCCCACAATGAACTGCGGTGATTGACAGATATCCTGGCAGCAGAAAGAGTTTGCTTAGACATCACAGTCACATCCGTCTGCTAATTGGAAAAGTTATGCCTGGAGAAAGCCGCAATGACGTCAGCTTGCAAGCAGCATAGTTTAAACGCAACAAACTCGCAAACTTTTCGCAAGTCCGTTGCATCTCTTCTTACAGACCTTGATTTATTTAGCTGGCCGTCACATATTATGCCAGTCAGATTCATATTTATCTGCAATTTTAATATGTAACATAAGCAATGAAAACTGGTCAAATATGTAGGTGTTTATAGTTGTCTTGGAAAGGTACATGGCGAAGACAGTCTATTTACAAAATACATACTTTTTGTAACTGTCTATTGTTACTTTATTTCACGGCAACGACTTTTAACAGTCAACACTGTTGAGTTTAATGTTACAAGACACGGGCAGCGACATTTGAGAGGTACTTCTAGGTAAGTTCGCATATACGCAAACAATTTATCATGTTTAAATGATTACCGAGCAATAGGCCTATATTAATTATTTAATAGTACTTCGAGTAATAAATTGGCACGCAGGATTACATTAAATTGGAAAATGGATCAACTTGGTTTACCTTAGGTCGCTTCCACACAATGTTTGTCTGTTGCTGCATGTTCCCGTAAGGAAATGTGGTATCGACGAAAAGTCCATCGTTAGCGTAATTAGTATTAGAAAATGACGGGACAGACGGAGCCAAAGCTGCAGAGCTTGCCAGGGGCTGGCGCAGTGGTCCGGCAGGAGAACTGCTTTTGTCCGGAGTTTTGGTTTTAGTCTTGAACATGGTGGACCTGCATTCGCCCCAGTTTGATCTCTTACCCAGGACGCGTTGGCGGTTCACTGTGTTGTTAGATTACGCGGAAGACGTGTTCTTGTGAAAGATTCAATCAGGTAAATAATACTAAGGGAATGTATTTAAAATAATACACCATAGAAGTTATTTAGCACTATAAGTTATGCCCAAAATACAAGACTTGTGTTCAGTACTGATTATCAATAAAACTTTACTTCATAAACTTTTACCTTTTATTACATTCACAGAAACGTAATACCTGTTCAAGAAGCCACGCCCATTTGAAAGAGCGCCGCACCATGGCGCACCTGAATTAAGAAGTAATTACCATAATAAAGTCAGTGTATATATAATATTTTATAACAGCAGGCTCGCACGCACGTTTAGGTAAGATGTTGCCACCATATCAAAATACTATCCTTTAATATGAATAGTCTAAGTAGATCACCCGTCCCTACAAATTCCGGAAAACCATGAAAACAATTAATAAGCGAATATTTGTGTAAAATACATTAGGTTAGATGTACAAGGATATTTAATGTCGAATGTTAGGGAAATTAAGCGATCGAAACGTTAAACCCAGATTGTAAGTGTAATTAAACTATTTGCGAAATCGTTTGCAGTAGCTATATAAACAGGAAATAAACCACTTCCGCTAAAGGACATGCATGCTGTACGTCCTTCTAGCTCAAATATTGTAACGTGTTTTAACGTTTGTATAGCCAACATTAATGTAGTGCGCACATCACGGACACCCGTCTAAGGGTTTTCGGGTTATTAGTGATGAGAACAGAATACCGTGGGAAACTGGGATCTGAGTCCTGCCTGCATCAACACTATCCCTTATAATATGCATTATTCGACGGGGGAGTGAATCACTTTAACCGAATAGACATTTCAGCAAATATAAAAACGCGATACATTCTGTCGGCTTCAGCTTCAGACATAGCCTTCATAGTGCTGAAGGACAGACACGTTGGACACGTAATAGGAGAGTTGCTAAATACTGTAAAAGTGCTACCTTAAAAAATACCTCCAAGGCTGGAATGGCATTTTTCTGGTGAGCCAACAAAATTGATCTTGGGGGACCCCAAACAGTCCCGGGCTCATTTAAAATCCCAGTCCAGCCCTGGATACCACAGAACCATAAAGCTTCACAGAGTTGGAGCTGGTGGCATGGCCGTTGGGGCATTACTCATATCCAAGGCCAGTGCAGACACAAACTCTGGCCGTCCGAGCCATGGAAGAAAGTAAAATCATGCCGCCTTCTGCTGTTCCAGACAGTGAAACATGTGGCTACAAGTGAGTGCATGCAACACAGCAACAGGATTAAGCTGTTTAGATGCTATTTGGTTAAACACTCAACCCTGGAAGAAGTAAATTCTAAGGATGCAAAAGTGGGAAGTGCCTGATGAAGTGGCCACTAAGTGAATGTCTACATATGACTGCTGGGAACTGGGAAGCCCCTAACACAAATAACAAGCTATTATCATTGATAACTCCAAAAAATCCTTATATTTTAGCTTGGGATAGTTCTCATGGGAAACTGACTGACATGGTCTACTGTTACGCTGCTCCTGACGGAGATCACAGGTTTGTTTGAAGATCATTCACAATCATGACTTTTGTCAGTATATTACCAAATATATGTAAATAACCAAGAACCATTTCAACTTCAGATGGAATTTTAAGAATGCATTGATGTGGGTGAGTTATTTAGATAATGATCCAGGAAGATAGACGGGACAAATCATACCCAGCGATCATCAACCTGTCTGTACACGAACAAAAGGGTACGTGGGAGGGGGGGGGGAAATGCTGTCTACTTTTTAAAATACCATATCCATGGTAACAATTGCATTTTGATGACTGTCATAATTCACCACAGTGTTGACCTTTGGTCACACCAAGTTTCAGATTCACACTGAATTCCCAAACACAAAATTGATATATAAAAGGCTAGTTAACCATTAAACACGGAACCTAGTTGGCTGTCAGTTGACATAATAAATGTAACGAGACACAATGCAGGAACATTTATGTAGAACATAATCATTCAGACTTCAATTGTGTATGTTCTTTTCCTCTTCACATTGGAGATCCAGAAGTAATTTAAAATTCAGATCCTAGCTTAATTGCAGAGTAAATAGAAAAAAAGTATTCCCCAAAAATATTTAGCAATAAATTTGTTACATATACACACATAACATCAAAAATTCACAACAGGAATTACACATTTTTCATAAAACAGGACATATTGGATAGCATATCAGACGTCTTGTTTCAACATGTACAGACACAGCTCAGATTAAGTAGTACTTCTTTTCTTCATGTAACAAAAAAGAAACGAATTCCACAGTCCGTTTCTTGTTCTTTGGGTTTTTCAGGACTTAAGACATTTAATATATGATTAAGTTGTGACTCTAGTTGTGACTCAAAGTCTTTAGCTTCCAATCACAGGCATAGAGGCTTAGCCCACTGAGTCACGTGCTAATGCGGACCTCAGACATGTATACATGGAGGTTCCATGTGGTTTCTCTTGATTTCGGTGACATTCCCACTCTCTCTGATCACCTACCTGCATGGGCACGGGAAGACGTGTGGAGCTCAGGGTGCTGAATGTCCAAATGACCAATAGACTTTAGTGAATTTCCTTTGTATCATCTGCCAACAGCTAAGAATGGTAAACTCTGAGTCACTGCAAGCTCAGTAGCATAATGCCATTCATAATGCTATTCATAATGCTATTCATAATGCCATTCATAATGCTATTCATAATGCTATTCATAATGCTTTTCATAATGCTATTCATAATGCTTTTCATAATGCTATTCTTTGACAAAACAGACACTACTGCCTACTTGTGATATTTATACTCCTGGTCCCTTATGCTGGAAGTCAATAAACTTACAAGCTTTTCCTTGCAATTTACATATAAAACTGGGAGAATCTTTAAAGCTTAACCTAATGTGTTCCAAATAAAGAGGGGGGGGGGGGTGCACTGATACAGCACCACCCAACACACAACGAACCACCTCATGGACTAGAACCCGAGTGCAGCCATTGCCGTGGGCGATACCTCAGCACCACAGCAGTCCGAGGTGGTACCTCAGCCCCACAGCAGATCGAGGTGGTACCTCAGCACCACAGCAGATCGAGGTGGTACCTCAGCCCCACAGCAGATCGAGGTGGTACCTCAGCACCTCAGCAGATCGAGGTGGTACCTCAGCACCTCAGCAGATCGAGGTGGTACCTCAGCACCACAGCAGATCGAGCTGGTACCTCAGCACCACAGCAGTTGGAGTGGAACAGAAAAGTGTGAAGTTTTTCCTGTGGCTGGAGTGCCAATCCTGCCACCAACCCCCAGTATTAATTTTAACATTAAAATAATCATAGTAACATTTCAGGACCTATTGTTTGTAATTGTTTAAAAGCAACAGTTTTCAATTACAATGGACAAGTGGTCTTGATAGCGGTTTTAATAACTCTGTTTATTGCAAATACCAGTTACATAAAATGTATCAGACAGTAAAATTCTCAGAAAACCTGCGCTGTGTTTATGCACCTGCATATGTCTGTGTAGCTGGGAGTCACTGGGAGGTGGCCATGATACTGGACACGCCTGTGGAGAAACGGACAGTTTGAGATTACAGACACTCTCAAAGCAAAACTGAACCACAATACAGAGGTCATTCCCAAGTTCAGACGGATGGCTTAAAATCCCAACAGGCGTCTAATTTAGCTGCAGGGTTATGGGCTATGAGCAACACCAGGTGGCAGGACTGGCTATTAAAGCAGTGAAAACAAACGGTCTATAACACAAACCGGCTCAAGTTGGTTTTGCAAACTGTTTACACGGGGGGGGCGGGGGGCTTAGGCCAAGCGAGAGGAGGACGTGTCTTGTGGCTAGGTGAACTTCTTGCAAAGCGCATCTCTTGCAAAATCAGAGACAGGTCCCTTACAGCAAAGGTCAAATTACAAACACTGACAAGCAGTGAACAGAGACCTGCACACACACCCGTGACGTAGACTGACGCTCGAGGTACCTACTTTCGAAATCAATCTTTTCCACAATGTTTTTAGGCTTGATGCTCTCCTCCTGGTTGAAGATGAAGATCTGTCCGTCCTCGTTCTCGGTCCAGCCATATTTACTCATCCACAGCTTCACCTGAGTGTCTGTGCAAGGCCACAAAGTCAGCGAAAGGGCTGAGAAGGCGAGACACCACTAAAGGACTGCAGCTCAACACACTGTATGCAATTCAACTTCTGCATAATCTAAAAGGGGGGTGACAGTCTTATCCAGAAAGGGCCGCTGTGTGTGCGGGTTTTCGCTGCAACTCCCTAATTAGATTATTAATTAGAGGCCTGATTGGCGGAGGAGTCCTCACACCTGGGTTTGAAGAGCTGACCTAAAGGTTATCCTAAAAACCTGCATACACACCGGCCGTTTGTGGATAAGATTGGCCACCCTTGATCTAACTGAAAGTATACAGTTCTGTGCTAAGCTATACGGAATTAATTTTCATTAAAAAAAATACATTTGTGACTGTTAGCCTGCAGCAAATCCATATTTTATGAAGGTATTCACACCAGATTTGGGAGAAGGCCTCACCTAAGGGGTCTCCAAGCATTTCTGCAAGCAGTCGACGTTCAATATTCTGATATGTGATCCCCACCACATGGCAAATGACTGCAAGGAGACAGAAAGAGAGAGAGAGACTTAAAGTACATGGCAGAAAGCAGGAAGAGCAGGCAGGCAAGGTGACCCTTGTGGGGACCCATCAGCTTCTGGCAGCTACCTGAGGCTAATGCTGCTGGCACAGAAAACACAACGGGAAAAGAAAGTCATTTTGTCTCAATGACAAATATAGACTCATCAAAGCTCATGATAAGCCACCAAAAACGAGCCACTGAGATGCAGCAGTGACACTACAATAAGCGCTTTGAGACAATGTAACGCTGTGAAAATGCGCTGTATAAATAAAATTCTATTTAATATTGGTGTATAGTACTGTACTGTATTATAGCGTATTTGAATCATACACAGTTCGGTAATTTGTACAGTATAGTCATTTGAAAAGCATTTGAAACAGCTGTTCTGTGTTTTGAAATCATTAATAAAATTCAGTAGAGACGCTGTCCGTTCTATTACCTTATATTTATGTAATAAATATACAAATGTCAATTAGATGGTAATCTGACTGGGGCATAACGAAGAAAAAAAATTGGTTATAGTGATTATCAGCTTATAGCGATCAATTTCACCCAGACAGATGTGATCACTA